CTTTTTTATTTTTAGAAACCTGTGCAGTGCTGTTTTTAATCTAAAACGTATTATAGGGCTTTAAATTCCTTTCCTGATCTGACACTCTCTGAACTCTTTTCTAAGTCTCCACTACTCTTTTAGCACAATCACCATTCTTATGGTCTGATCTGTGTACTTCATAAGCTCCCAACACTCAAAGAACAAGGCGAGGATAAAGATCGGATCCCATCTGTCGAGGGAATCCCAGGGCTGTGCATTGACACCCACAGCTTATCCAGTATAATAGCATCCTGGAAGCTATTTAGAAGCAGATTCCCAAAACAAAATCGTCAGAATCATGTCTGAGGGAAGAAGGCTGATGCAGGCAAAGGGCATCGCTTGCATAATCCAGACAGGCAGAGGAAAAAGTATGGGGCTGATTTGTGTACAACGTCTGGGCACTCACAGACGGGATGTAGACTATATAAACATGCAGACTTTGGGCAGTCCTCTACATCCTGGACCTTTGTAGTTGATGCTAATTTTATTGTAAACAAATCTACCCCCCCCCCCCCCCCCCCCCCCCCCACAACAGAAAATGAAGTGTCCTTTTTACATGGCAGGCCACTGATGGGTTTTAAAGGGACCCTGTCAGGATAAGTAAAATTACTTTTTTCACCTGGAGCAATGATCCTCACATTCGAAAGGTTGCTTGCTTTTCCCAGGTGTGAGATTTAATTCTTTTGAAATACAATGGTGCAGTTGATTGCAGTGTCATCTTGCAGCACGCAGAGCTTGGGTTCAATTTCCAGCACAAGTAAAGCCCAGGATAAACTCTCTATCTATTACCAAATCTGGCTACACACCTATAGATTTTATAGGCTGAATGGAATAAAAAAATCTTACAGTTCTCCTGCTGCGGTTATTGTATTTTTTAAAATAATTTTTATTCAGTGGTATGCGACAGTAACAATGAAATGACATAAAAAGGTGACTTCTCCAACCAGATAGGAGAAACAGAACAACAGTGATACATTCAAAAAGTAAATACTGATCTGTCTATACATAGAGAGAACAATAGATGTGCCCCCCAACATAGTGCCTGCCAGTAAGGAAAAGAAAGAGAAATAAAGGAAGAGAGAGAGAGAAGAGAAAAAAAAGGGGGGGTTCAAATAAGGTTCAAGGGGGGCTAGGCCATCGGGGAGCAGGGAAATGCACCACCCAACCATGTGGCCCTTGGTTCAGGCATGAAAAGTAAGTATTAGGTATATTGGAGGCAGGGGCGGACTGACCATTTGGAAACTCGGGCACTGCCCGAGGGCCTGGGGTCAGTAGGGGGCCCCATGAGATGCCCCTGGTACCTTTTTCATAGGCTTTTTTCAGTTTGGGCAAGGACACAGGGGCCCCATGATCCCCTATTGCCCGAGGGCCCCATGAGTTGTCAGTCTGCCCCTGATTGGAGGTATTCGTCTGAGAAGTGAAAGAGGTGGTTATTGTATTTTGACAGCCGGCCCCATCAGCTGTCAAAATACCCAAACAGTGCCTTCATCTGATTGGATGGAGGTGCCATCTTGCTAACAATTTTCCAATCCAGGGATGTTGGGCAGGAGGCGTCTGACAGGACATCCACTGAGCAAATTTCGGTTTGTTCATCGAATCAGTCAAAATTCATTCCATATATAGTCACCTTAAACAAACTGCTATCAGACTTCTGTGGCTTAACATAAGTGGAGTGAATTTCGCCCCCTTCACATTGTATCGCTATCATTTTTGTATCTTTTGTAGCCCTGAGGAAGGGAGATCTGATGCTGAAACGCACTGGAGGACTTTTGTTTTTCCCATTTTCCAATAAAATACCTTTGGACTCCTAGAATGTTTGTTAATACTTCATCTGTCTCAGCTACATTTAGATTTCTTCATTTGGGTGACCCCTGTGCTAGGGGGGGTGGGGTGAGGGGGTTCCCACTTTGCAGAGAGCTGCCAAACCATGACAAAGTCATTAAGGAGCGCTTTTCTATTGGTTGAGGATCCAGTGCCTCACTTCCATCTCTATTTGAAGCCCAGAGCCATGTAACCAGGGGCGGACTGACCATTTGGAAACTAGGGCACTGCCCGAGGGCCCGGGGTCAGTAGGGGGCCCCATGAGATGCCCCTGGTACCTTTTTCATAGGTTTTTTTGAGTTTGGGCAAGGACACAGGGGCCCCATAATCCCCTATTGCCCGGGGGGCCGCATGAGTTGTCAGTCCGCCCCTGCATGTAACCCACTTCCGATTAGACCAGGGTATCAAGACTCCGTCCCCAACCCAATCAAGGTCTCCAACAGAGAGCGGCACTATGACATAATCCAACTCACCACCAGATGAACAAGAGGGTCAAGAGGACCTATGATTTCAGATCCAGCCAAAAAAAACTAGAAAAAACTTAAGTATATAGTTTTTTTTAAGCAGGGGGGGGGAGCCTGCTGAAGCCAGATATTGGCTTTAACCTCTTGCCACCCATGTAATGCATATTTGTTGCAAAAAAAAAAGGGTGGGTTTTAAGACGTCCACCATGGACAGCCGAGGTTTCTGTGTGAGAGTAGAACTATAGGCAAAACATTTTTTTTCGGATAGAGTAAGAGAGGGTTATATCCCCTTTTTTCCATCTGTGTCCCATTGGGGAGATTTACCTTCACTTCCTGTGTCAAAGCCAAAATAGGAAGTAAGAGGAAGTCCCTGCAAATTAAGGAAATTCTTTGGGGTCCCCCAGGCCACCAGAACTAGTGTCCCCATTGGAAGATTTCCTCTCTATTACTTTCACTTTTGATGACAATGGTACATAGGACACATAGAGAGGTGGAATCTCCCTAAAGGGGGCTCAGATTGTAATAAATACCTACTAGGTGTTCTAATCATCTTCACTCTGACTAAAACAAAACAAAAAAGTTTTCCCTTTAGTTATACCTTTCTTAAAGTATAACTAAAGACAAAACTTTTTTTTTTTTTTTTTAGGTTTGGAAAGAGTGGCGAGGAATTAGAAAACCTGGTCAAAGAAAAGCTGTCATACGATGAAGCAGGTTTTATTGCTGTCTGTGATGGGGGATGTGAGGGGGAGGGTTCCCCTCTCTATTTATTTTGTTTACTGTTATCATTGAAAGTGAAGGTAAAAGAAACCCCAAATTTTGGGAAATCTTCCAATGGTGACAGTAATGCAGGCCATAGACGGGTCAAAAATCGGCCGATTTTTGGGGATTTTGGCATTTTTTTTTTATCGGTAAAGTTGGAAAAAAAATCGGACGATTTTGCCAATCGGCCGATTTGCCCAGCAATGATGGGCAAATCAGACGATATTTTTACCGAAGAAGAAAAGAAGAGAAGAAAAAGAAGAAGGAAAAGAAGAAGAATTTTAGTCCGCTATTATATTTGACATGAAAAAGTGGAAAAAAAATGAAAAAAAAAAAAAAAAAAGTATTGCGTTGCAACAATGTATCTATTTGTATCCGAAATGGATACAAATAGATACATTGTTGCAACCGCACTGATCATAAGTGCCCATATGACCAGTGTAGCCCCATCAGTGCCATCTGTCAGTGCCCATCAATGCCATATACCAGTGCCCATCAGAGTACATCAATGCCACATAGCAATGCACATCAGAGCTGCCTTTCAGTGCTGCCTATCAGTGCCAGTCATTTCCGCCTATCAGTGCTGCCCATCATTGCCAATCAGTGCCGCCTATCAGTGCCAGTCATTTCCGCCTATCAGTGCCCATCAGTGCCGCCTATCAGTGCCAGTCAGAGCCGCCTATCAGTGTTCGTCAGTCCCACCTAACAGTTCCAATCAGTGCCGCCTATCAGTGCTGGCTATCAGTGCCAGTCAGTGTTGCCTATCAGTGCCATATATGAGTGCTGCCTTTCAGTGCCCATCAGTGATGCCTGTCAATGCCCATCAGTGCAGCCTATCAGTGCCCATCACTGCAGCCTCATTAGCGCACATCAGTGAAGGAGAAAAATTACTTATTTACAAAATTTTATAACAGAAACTAAGAAAAAAACTTGTATTTCTCGACTGTGCAGCATGGTCCCACTGACCTCAACTCATGAGTCTGGCAAGCAGCCCTGCTTACCAAACCCAACATGCCAAGCTAAATTTGCTGCACTGCGAATCATTGTGGCCTCTTCTCTTTGGGGCTGAGGAGTGCAGAGTCTATACTATATATACACATCACACCAGTTTGTTTTCATGATGTAATGTGTGTGCATGTTTTGTCTCCAGGGGAGCCTCCCTGCGAGGATGAGCTCTCCTGGAGTTGTGAACAATCCTTCCCTTTGTTTTGAAATGAATAAAAAAAGGTTTAAAAAAAAAAAAAAACATTCAGGAAGCATTGAACATGCATGGTGTAAACGGCTGAGAAAAACAAAGTCATATACATCAGAATGAAAAATGTGTGCGTAATAAACATGGTGCACAATATAAATCAAATATCTAACCTTCAAATGACTTTATATTCATATCATAAAAAAGGTTCATATCATTAGCAGGCTATATATCATTAAGGGGTGTATTTATGAAAAATGGCCATCTCATGAAAAATCACGGGTACATTTGTTCTGTGCAAATGGGGCAAAACCAAATGTTCCCAATCTGTCTCCTCTACAATGTTATTCATTCAGAAAATAACAGCAGTTTGGGAAAATACCACATTATGGCCACTAGGCTTGAGTTGAGGATTAGCAATTATTTCCTATGACCATCAGCTCCATCTAGTGGCCATAATGCAGATTTTCCCAAACCACTGTTATTTACTGGATGAAGAACATTTGACCTGTAGAGGAGGTAGCATGAAAACTTTCGATTTCTTTGTCCCATTTGTACAGAACAAATGTACTGACAGTTTTTCTGGACAGATAGCTATGCAATAGTTTTTTATACATATATATATATATATATATATATATACACCCCTTAAAGCAGGGCTTAAAATTTCAAGTCCTGAGCTACTAGCCAGGCCTTATAGTTACTCACCACCAACAAACACACACAAACAGAGACACCTGTACACACACACAGACATGTACATACACACACAGACATGTACATACACACACAGTAACATGTACACACATGCACAGAGACACATGTACACACATACATACAGACACATGTATACACACACAGGCACGTACAGACACGCATACACACAGATACATGTACATACACAGAAATACACATGCACAGACACATGTACATACATACACAGACACATGTACATACATACACAAAAACACACAGACACATGTACATGCACACAGACACATGTACACACACAGACACATGTACAATTGTACATGCATACACAGACACACACAAACACACACACATGTACACACACACACACACCTCATAAAAAGTTGCAGTACTTCGGTGTTCATTCACAGAGCCGGGTACTGCACTCTAGGGGGAGGCAGAGAGCACAGCACACACTCCTTGCTTTGCTTTCACTGCGCTCAGCTATTGAGCAGTCTGATGGCTCCCAGTGCCAATGGCAGATCCGGCCTGAGCTCCGAGCCTGCTCAGCAAGACAGCCCTGGGGGACACACTCGCCCCCACCATAATTTCCACTCGCCATTGGCGAGCAGGCGAGTGGAAATTTCAAGCCCTGCCTTAAAGTATTTAATAATCTGAACTTTTCTCAACCTTGATGAGGCAGCCCTGAAGGGGAACCATGAACCTGTGAAATGTACTGGCTTAGTGTTCTGGCCAAGATTGATAAACTTTTACTGGATTTGCCCTAACCTGTGGGGCTCTCATCCTTTTACACTTTACGTAGTTTTTTCCGGGACCCCCATAGCCTGCAAACCAGAGAGCTGCCTCCCTTGAACTGGAGACCAAATGTGTTTTTCCCATTCAGATCCAGCACTCCTAGCACACCCTTGCAATAACAAGCAAATATGGCTGCTCCACATTCATATATAATTAAAAGCCATACATACCAAAATGTTTTCTTACAACAGTAAAAAAAAAAAAATCACTTTTAACAAAAATAAATAAAGATACTAAAAAGTCTGTACACCTTTAACTATTGTTTTTACTGGCTGCTTCTAATTACAACTAATAAACTAAAACAAGCTAGTGGGTGGCCAGTTGGATGTATCCTCTTATAATGGCCGGCCTTAATTAAGAGACTACAGCCCATCTGCGTCTCATTATGTCCTTATAGACCCCTGGGCTGTTAAATTAAAGATATACGCAACCCGCCCTGTTCAAATATGAAACGCGTCATTTATAAGCCTTTGAGTTTGTTTAAAGACACAGTGTGAAAAACACCCAGCTAATCACATATTAGGTTTCATTTGCTAGGTAGTGTTAGCACCTGTAAGATGGTCTCAAATTGGTTGACAGTAATGCCCAGATGAGAATGTTCGACTCCCTAATCTGCTGTGCATTCCAGTAGAGCAGGGTGCAGATCCACGCTGGCGATTATTCGCTGCTAATAGTACACCTGGCATTCACATGTGCCTGTGCACGGGAGAACGTCTGTGAAAAATGCACACAGGTACCTACTGCAGTTTGCGCATTAATATGCAGTGTATATTTTCTGTGAACAGATGGTATATGACAGCCATGGTCACAGTGATGGTGCTGAAAGCCAAACACATCAACTCCCAGCTGGTGATCACTGTCATTAGACGATGATGACTTGACTATGAAATATGACAAAATACTACTTTGTTCTAAGACATTGTCTCTCTCTTGTTACTGTCAAGGTCAGAGAGACATGCACTATTACAGTGTGGCCAAGCAACATTCAAAAACAATCACAAAAAAAGTTTTAGCTTCCTGACCAAAATAAGTTATGGTTTAAAGTGATATTAAACTCAAAAACAAAAATTATATTGTAGCTCACCATTTTCTAAATGTGATGGCTGCATTAGCTTTCTTTTTTTAGGCATTTTTCCTTGATTTTCACCTGGTGATCTGGCCAGCAAATTTGTTAATTTTAACTTCATTTAACAAACCAAACTGTCCACCATAAGTGGCAGTTAGAGGGTTGAGATAAACCATTTACCACTGAAAAGGGTGCTTACAAAGGTCAGTTTTAATTCATTCAGTTTTAGCTGGAGTTTGACTTTAAAGTTCAACTAAGAGCTTAATACATACCTGCCCAACGGTTGTGTGCTGGCACCAGGGGCAGACTGACAACTCATGGGGCCTCCGGGCAATAGGGGATCATGGGGCCCCTGTGTCCTTGCCCAAACTCAAAAAAGCCTATGAAGAATGGGGTGCCTCAAGATTGTCCATAATTTTCAAGGGTGCCTCGGGACTGTCCATAACTTTAAAGGGTGCCTCGGGACTGTCCATAAATTTCAAGGGTGCCTCGGGACTGTCCATAATTTTTAAGGGTGCCTCGGGACTGTCCATAATTTTCAAGGGTGCCTCGGAACTGCCCATAATTTTCAAGGGTGCCTCGGGACTGTCCATAAATTGTAAAGGGTGCCTCGGGACTGTCCATAGTTTTAAAGAGTGCCTCGGGACTCTCCATAATTGTAAAGGGTGCCTCGGGACTGTCCATAATTGTAAAGGGTGCCCCGGGACTGTCCATAATTGTAAAGGGTGCCCGGGACTGTCCATAATTGTAAAGGGTGCCTCGGGACTGTCCATAATTGTAAAGGGTGCCTCGGGACTGTCCATAATTGTAAAGGGTGCCCCGGACTGTCCATAATTGTAAAGGGTGCCTCGGACTGTCCATAATTTTAAAAGGTGCCTCGGGACTGTCCCTAATTGTAAAGGGTGCCTCGGGACTGTCCATAATTGTAAAGGGTGCCTCTGGACTGTCCATAATTGTAAAGGGTGCCTCGGGACTGTCCATAATTTAAAGGGTGCCTCGGGACTGTCCATAATTTATAAAGGGTGCCTCGGGACTGTCCATAATTTTAAAAAGGGTGCCTCGGGACTGTCCATAATTATAAAGGGTGCCTGGGACTGTCCATAACTTTAAAGGGTGCCTCGGGACTGTCCATAAATTTCAAGGGTGCCTCGGGACTGTCCATAATTTTAAAGGGTGCCTCGGGACTGTCCATAATTTAAAAGGGTGCCTCGGGACTGTCCATAATTGTAAAGGGTGCCTCGGGACTGTCCATAATTTTTAAGGGTGCCTCGGGGACTGTCCATAATTTAAAGGGTGCCTCGGGACTGTCCATAATTTTTTAAGGGTGCCTCGGGACTGTCCATAATTTAAAGGGTGCCTCGGGACTGTCCATGAATTTTTTAAAGGGTGCCTCGGACTGTCCATAATTTAAAGGGTGCCTCGGGGACTGTCCATAATTTTAAAGGGTGCCTCGGGGGTAAACTGTCCATAATTTAAAGGGTGCCTCGGGACTGTCCATAATTTTAAAGGGTGCCTCGGGACTGTCCATAATTATAAAGGGTGCCTCGGGACTGTCCATAATTTAAAGGGTGCCTCGGGACTGTCCATAAATTTAAAGGGTGCCTCGGGACTGTCCATAATTTAAAGGGTGCCTCTCGGGACTGTCCATAATTTTCAAGGGTGCCTCGGGACTGTCCATAATTTTAAAAGGGTGCCTCGGGACTGTCCATAATTTTAAAGGGTGCCTCGGGACTGTCCATAATTGTAAAGGGTGCCTCGGGACTGTCCATAATTGTAAAGGGTGCCTCGGGACTGTCCATAATTGTAAAGGGTGCCTCGGGACTGTCCATAATTTAAAGGGTGCCTCGGGACTGTCCATAATTTTAAAGGGTGCCTCGGGACTGTCCATAATTTTAAAGGGTGCCTCGGGACTGTCCATAATTTATAAAGGGTGCCCCGGGACTGTCCATAATTGTAAAGGGTGCCTCGGGACTGTCCATAATTGTAAAGGGTGCCTCGGGACTGTCCATAATTTTAAAGGGTGCCTCGGGACTGTCCATAATTTAAAGGGTGCCTCGGGACTGTCCATAAATTTAAGGGTGCCTCGGGACTGTCCATAATTTTATAAGGGTGCCTCGGGACTGTCCATAATTTTAAAGGGTGCCTCGGGACTGTCCATAATTTTAAAGGGTGCCTCGGGACTGTCCATAATTTAAAAGGTGCCTCGGGACTGTCCATTACTTTTAAAAGGGTGCTCTCGGGACTGTCCATAATTTAAAGGGTGCCTCGGGACTGTCCATAATTTTAAAGGGTGCCTCGGGACTGTCCATAATTTTAAAGGGTGCCTCGGGACTGTCCATAATTTAAAGGGTGCCTCGGGACTGTCCCATATTTTAAAGGGTGCCTCGGGACTGTCCATAATTTTAAAGGGTGCCTCGGGACTGTCCATAATTGTAAAAGGGTGACCCCGGGACTGTCCATAATTTAAAGGGTGCCTCGGGACTGTCCATAATTTTTAAAGGGTGCCTCGGGACTGTCCATAACTTTAAAGGGTGCCCTCGGGGACTGTCCATAATTTTAAAGGGTGCCTCGGGACTGTCCATAATTTAAAGGGTGCCTCGGGACTGTCCATAAATTTAAAGGGTGCCTCGGGTGTCCATAATTTTAAAGGGTGCCTCGGGACTGTCCATAATTGTAAAGGGTGCCTCGGGACTGTCCATAATTTTAAAGGGTGCCTCGGGACTGTCCATAATTATAAAGGGTGCCTCGGGACTGTCCATAATTGTAAAGGGTGCCTCGGGACTGTCCATAATTTAAAGGGTGCCTCGGGACTGTCCATAATTTTAAAGGGTGCCTCGGGACTGTCCATAATTTTAAAGGGTGCCTCGGGACTGTCCATAATTTTTAAAGGGTGCCTCGGGACTGTCCATAAATAAAGGGTGCCTCGGGACTGTCCATAATTTTCAAGGGTGCCTCGGGACTGTCCATAATTTTAAAGGGTGCCTCGGGACTGTCCATAATTTTTAAAGGGTGCCTCGGGACTGTCCATAATTTTTAAAGGGTGCCTCGGGACTGTCCATAATTGTAAAGGGTGCCTCGGGACTGTCCATAAATTTTAAAGGGTGCCTCGGGACTGTCCATAATTGTAAAGGGTGCCTCGGGACTGTCCATAATTTAAAGGGTGCCTCGGGACTGTCCATAATTGTAAAGGGTGCCTCGGGACTGTCCATAATTATAAAGGGTGCCCCGGGACTGTCCATAATTATAAAGGGTGCCTCGGGACTGTCCATAATTGTAAAGGGTGCCTCGGGACTGTCCATAATTGTAAAGGGTGCCTCGGGACTGTCCATAATTATAAAGGGTGCCTCGGGACTGTCCATAATTATAAAGGGTGCCTCGGGACTGTCCATAATTGTAAAGGGTGCCTCGGGACTGTCCATAATTGTAAAGGGTGCCTCGGGACTGTCCATAATTGTAAAGGGTGCCTCGGGACTGTCCATAATTGTAAAAGGGTGCCTCGGGACTGTCCATAATTATAAAGGGTGCCTCGGGACTGTCCATAATTTAAAGGGTGCCTCGGGACTGTCCATAATTTTTAAGGGTGCCCTCGGGACTGTCCATAATTTTAAAGGGTGCCTCGGGACTGTCCATAATTGTAAAGGGTGCCTCGGGACTGTCCATAATTTTAAAGGGTGCCTCGGGACTGTCCATAATTTTAAAGGGTGCCTCGGGACTGTCCATAATTTTAAAGGGTGCCTCGGGACTGTCCATAATTTAAAGGGTGCCTCGGGACTGTCCATAATTGTAAAGGGGGTGCCCGGGACTGTCCATAATTGTAAAGGGTGCCCCGGGACTGTCCATAATTGTAAAGGGTGCCTCCGGGACTGTCCATAATTGTAAAGGGTGCCTCGGGGACTGTCCATAATTGTAAAGGGTGCCCCGGGACTGTCCATAATTGTAAAGGGTGCCTCGGGACTGTCCATAATTTTTAAGGGTGCCTCGGGACTGTCCATAATTGTAAAGGGTGCCTCGGGACTGTCCATAATTATAAAGGGTGCCTCGGGACTGTCCATAATTGTAAAGGGTTGCCTCGGGACTGTCCATAATTATAAAGGGTGCCTCGGGGACTGTCCATAAATTTAAAGGGTGCCTCGGGACTGTCCATAACTTTAAAGGGTGCCTCGGGACTGTCCATAATTTCAAGGGTGCCTCGGGGGACTGTCCATAATTTTAAAGGGTGCCTCGGGACTGTCCATAATTTAAAGGGTGCCTCGGGACTGTCCATAATTTTAAAGGGTGCCCTCGGGACTGTCCATAATTTTAAAGGGTGCCTCGGGACTGTCCATAAATTTAAAGGGTGCCTCGGGACTGTCCATAATTTTTAAGGGTGCCTCGGGACTGTCCATAATTTAAAGGGTGCCTCGGGACTGTCCATAATTGTAAAGGGTGCCTCGGGACTGTCCATAAATTGTAAAGGGTGCCCCGGGACTGTCCATAATTGTAAAGGGTGCCTCGGGACTGTCCATAATTATAAAGGGTGCCTCGGGACTGTCCATAAATTATAAAGGTGCCTCGGGACTGTCCATAATTATAAAGGGTGCCTCGGGACTGACTGTCCTCGGGACTGTCCATAATTATAAAGGGTGCCTCGGGACTGTCCATAATTGTAAAGGGTGCCTCGGGACTGTCCATAATTATAAAGGGTGCCTCGGGACTGTCCATAATTTAAAGGGTGCCTCGGGACTGTCCATAATTATAAAGGGTGCCTCGGGACTGTCCATAATAATTATAAAGGGTTGCCTCGGGACTGTCCATAATTATAAAGGGTGCCTCGGGACTGTCCATAATTTAAAGGGTGCCTCGGGACTGTCCATAATTATAAAGGGTGCCTCGGGACTGTCCATAATTATAAAGGGTGCCTCGGGACTGTCCATAATTATAAAGGGTGCCTCGGGACTGTCCATAATTATAAAGGGTTCCTCGGGACTGTCCATAATTTATAAAGGGTGCCCCGGGACTGTCCATAATTTTAAAGGGTGCCTCGGGACTGGGTCCATAATTGTAAAGGGTGCCTCGGGACTGTCCATAATTGTAAAGGGTGCCTCGGGACTGTCCATAATTTTTAAAGGGTGCCTCGGGACTGTCCATAATTGTAAAGGGTGCCTCGGGACTGTCCATAATTGTAAAGGGTGCCTCGGGACTGTCCATAATTATAAAGGGTGCCCCGGGACTGTCCATAATTGTAAAGGGTGCCTCGGGACTGTCCATAATTATAAAGGGTGCCTCGGGACTGTCCATAATTTTAAAGGGTGCCTCGGGACTGTCCATAATTTTAAAGGGTGCCTCGGGACTGTCCATAATTTAAAGGGTGCCTCGGGACTGTCCATAATTTAAAGGGTGCCTCTCGGGACTGTCCATAATTTTAAAGGTTGCCTCGGGACTGTCCATAAATTTTATAAAAAAAGGGTGCCTCGGGACTGTCCATAATTTTAAAGGGTGCCTCGGGACTGTCCATTGTTTTAAAGGGTTCCTCGGGACTGTCCATAATTTAAAGGGTGCCTCGGGACTGTCCATAATTTTAAGGGTGCCTCGGGACTGTCCATAATTTAAAGGGTGCCTCGGGACTGTCCATAATTTAAAGGGTGCCTCTCGGGACTGTCCATAATTTTAAAGGGTGCCTCGGGGACTGTCCATAATTTTTAAAGGGTGCCTCGGGACTGTCCATAATTTTAAAGGGTGCCTCGGGACTGTCCATAATTGTAAAGGGTGCCTCGGGACTGTCCATAATTGTAAAGGGTGCCTCGGGACTGTCCATAATTATAAAGGGTGCCTCGGGACTGTCCATAATTGTAAAGGGTGCCTCGGGACTGTCCATAATTGTAAAGGGTGCCTCGGGACTGTCCATAATTTAAAGGGTGCCTCGGGACTGTCCATAATTATAAAGGGTGCCTCGGGACTGTCCATAATTGTAAAGGGTGCCTCGGGACTGTCCATAATTGTAAAGGGTGCCTCGGGACTGTCCATAATTGTAAAGGGTGCCTCGGGACTGTCCATAATTGTAAAGGGGTGCCTCGGGACTGTCCATAATTGTAAAGGGTGCCCGGGACTGTCCATAATTGTAAAGGGTGCCTCGGGACTGTCCATAATTGTAAAGGGTGCCGGGACTGTCCATAATTGTAAAGGGTGCCTCGGGACTGTCCATAATTGTAAAGGGTGCCTCGGGACTGTCCATAATTGTAAAGGGTGCCTCGGGACTGTCCATAATTATAAAGGGTGCCTCGGGACTGTCCATAATTATAAAGGGTGCCTCGGGACTGTCCATAATTGTAAAGGGTGCCTCGGGACTGTCCATAATTGTAAAGGGTGCCTCGGGACTGTCCATAATTATAAAGGGGTGCCTCGGGACTGTCCATAATTGTAAAAGGTGCCTCGGGACTGTCCATAATTTTAAAGGGTGCCTCGGGACTGTCCATAATTTAAAAGGGTGCCTCGGGACTGTCCATAATTTTATAAAGGGTGCCTCGGGACTGTCCATTAATTTTAAAGGGTGCCTCGGGACTGTCCATAATTTTAAAGGGTGCCTCGGGACTGTCCATTATTTTTAAAGGGTGCCTCGGGACTGTCCATAATTTTAAAGGGTGCCACTCGGGACTGTCCATAATTGTAAAGGGTGCCTCGGGACTGTCCATAATTATTAAAGGGTGCCTCGGGACTGTCCATAATTGTAAAGGGTGCCTCGGGACTGTCCATAATTGTAAAGGGTGCCTCGGGACTGTCCATAATTTTAAAGGGTGCCTCGGGACTGTCCATAATTATAAAGGGGGCCCTCGGGACTGTCCATAATTATAAAGGGTGCCCCGGGACTGTCCATAATTGTAAAGGGTGCCTCGGGACTGTCCATAATTGTAAAAGGGTGCCTCGGGACTGTCCATAATTGTAAAGGGTGCCTCGGGACTGTCCATAATTGTAAAGGGTGCCTCGGGACTGTCCATAATTTAAAGGGTGCCTCGGGACTGTCCATAATTGTAAAGGGTGCCCGGGGACTGTCCATAATTGTAAAGGGTGCCTCGGGACTGTCCATAATTTATAAAGGGTGCCTCGGGACTGTCCATAATTTAATTTAAAGGGTGCCCTCGGGACTGTCCATAATTTAAAGGGTGCCTCGGGACTGTCCATAATTTAAAGGGTGCCCTCGGGACTGTCCATAATTTTAAAGGGTGCCTCGGGACTGTCCATAATTTTAAAGGGTGCCTCGGGACTGTCCATAACTTTAAAGGGTGCCTCGGGACTGTCCATAATTTTAAAGGTGCCTCGGGACTGTCCATAATTTTAAAGGGTGCCTCGGGACTGTCCATAAATTTTAAGGGTACTCGGGACTGTCCATAATTTTTAAAGGGTGCCTCGGGACTGTCCATAATTGTAAAGGGTGCCTCGGGACTGTCCATAATTATAAAGGGTGCCCCGGGACTGTCCATAATTGTAAAGGGTGCCTCGGGACTGTCCATAATTATAAAGGGTGCCCCGGGACTGTCCATAATTATAAAGGGTGCCCCGGGACTGTCCATATTTATAAAGGGTGCCTCGGGACTGTCCATAATTGTAAAGGGGTGCCCCGGGACTGTCCATAATTATAAAGGGTGCCTCGGGACTGTCCATAATTATAAAGGGTTCCTCGGGACTGTCCATAATTATAAAGGGTGCCTCGGGACTGTCCATAATTATAAAGGGTTCCCTCGGGACTGTCCATAATTATAAAGGGTGCCTCGGGACTGTCCTGTCCATAATTATAAAGGGTGCCCCGGGACTGTCCATAATTATAAAGGGTGCCCCGGGACTGTCCATAATTATAAAGGGTGCCTCGGGACTGTCCATAATTATAAAGGGTGCCCCGGGACTGTCCATAATTATAAAGGGTGCCCCGGGACTGTCCATAATTATAAAGGGTGCCCCGGGACTGTCCCATAATTGTAAAGGGTGCCCCGGGACTGTCCATAATTATAAAGGGTTCCCTCGGGACTGTCCATAATTATAAAGGGTGCCTCGGCACTGTCCATAATTGTAAAAGGGTGCCTCGGGACTGTCCATAATTGTAAAGGGTGCCTCGGGACTGTCCATAATTGTAAAGGGTGCCTCGGGACTGTCCATAATTGTAAAGGGTGCCCCGGGACTGTCCATAATTAGTAAAGGGTGCCCCGGGACTGTCCATAATTGTAAAGGGTGCCCCGGGACTGTCCATAATTATAAAGGGTGCCTCGGGACTGTCCATAATTATAAAGGGTGCCTCTGGACTGTCCATAATTATAAAGGGTGCCTCGGGACTGTCCATAATTGTAAAGGGTGCCTCGGGACTGTCCATAATTTATAAAGGGTGCCTCTGGACTGTCCATAATTATAAAGGGTGCCTCGGGACTGTCCATAATTATAAAGGGTGCCTCGGGATGTCCCATAATTGTAAAGGGTGTCCCTCGGGACTGTCCATAATTGTAAAGGGTGCCTCGGGACTGTCCATAATTGTAAAGGGTGCCTCGGGACTGTCCATAATTGTAAAGGGTGCCTCGGGACTGTCCATAATTGTAAAGGGTGCCCCGGGACTGTCCATAATTGTAAAGGGTGCCTCGGGACTGTCCATAATTGTAAAGGGTGCCTCGGGACTGTCCATAATTGTAAAGGGTGCCTCGGCACTGTCCATAATTGTAAAGGGTGCCTCGGGGACTGTCCATAATTGTAAAGGGTGCCTCGGCACTGTCCATAATTATAAAGGGTTCCTCGGGAGTGTCCATAATTATAAAGGGTGCCTCGGGACTGTCCATAATTATAAAAGGTTCCTCGGGACTGTCCATAATTATAAAGGGTGCCCCGGGACTGTCCATAATTATAAAGGGTGCCCCGGGACTGTCCATAATTATAAAGGGTTCCTCGGGACTGTCCATAATTATAAAGGGTGCCTCGGGACTGTCCATAATTGTAAAGGGTGCCCCGGGACTGTCCATAATTAGAAAGGGTGCCCCGGGACTGTCCATAATTGTAAAGGGTGCCCCGGGACTGTCCATAATTATAAAGGGTGCCTCGGGACTGTCCATAATTATAAAGGGTGCCTCTCGGGACTGTCCATAATTATAAAGGGTGCCTCGGGACTGTCCATAATTGTAAAGGGTGCCTCGGGACTGTCCATAATTATAAAGGGTGCCTCTGGACTGTCCCATAATTATAAAGGGTGCCTCGGGACTGTCCATAATTATAAAGGGTGCCTCGGGACTGTCCATAATTGTAAAGGGTGCCTCGGCACTGTCCATAATTGTAAAGGGTGCCTCGGCACTGTCCATAATTGTAAAGGGTGCCTCGGGACTGTCCATAATTGTAAAGGGTGCCCCAGGACTGTCCATAATTGTAAAGGGTGCCTCGGGACTGTCCATAATTGTAAAGGGTGCCTCGGGACTGTCCATAATTGTAAAGGGTGCCTCTGGACTGTCCATAATTGTAAAGGGTGCCTCGGGACTGTCCATAATTGTAAAGGGTGCCTCGGCACTGTCCATAATTATAAAGGGTGCCTCGGGACTGTCCATAATTATAAAGGGTGCCTCGGGACTGTCCATAATTGTAAAGGGTGCCTCGGCACTGTCCATAATTATAAAGGGTGCCTCGGGACTGTCCATAATTGTAAAGGGTGCCTCGGGACTGTCCATAATTATAAAGGGTGCCTCGGGACTGTCCATAATTGTAAAGGGTGCCCCGGGACTGTCCATAATTGTAAAGGGTGCCCCGGGACTGTCCATAATTGTAAAGGGTGCCTCGGGACTGTCCATAATTATAAAGGGTGCCTCGGGACTGTCCATAATTATAAAGGGTGCCCCGGGACTGTCCATAATTGTAAAGGGTGCCTCGGGACTGTCCATAATTATAAAGGGTGCCTCGGGACTGTCCATAATTTTAAAGGGTGCCTCGGGACTGTCCATAATTATAAAGGGTGCCTCGGGACTGTCCATAATTATAAAGGGTGCCCCGGGACTGTCCATAATTGTAAAGGGTGCCTCGGGACTGTCCATAATTATAAAGGGTGCCCGGGACTGTCCATAATTTATAAAGGGTGCCTCGGGACTGTCCATAATTATAAAGGGTGCCCCGGGACTGTCCATAATTATAAAGGGTGCCCCGGGACTGTCCATAATTATAAAGGGTGCCTCGGGACTGTCCATAAGGGTGCCATGACTGTAAAGAGGTTGACAAACACTGATCCAGCTCTTCCATATAATCAGCTGAGGACATCTAGTGGAAGATTATAGGTATTACAAGTAAAACATTGAACACTACTGAGACACAACTGTCATTGTACTCACTCATGTGACTGCCGTTCACAAGACGGGCGGAAAGTTTCTTTCTTGCCCCAAGGCTCCGGATTTGACATTCTGGGGATTATCAGAAGAAATTAAGAGCTTTGTTTAGGACCACCCTGTTGGGAAGGAAAACAAGACATGACATCACCACCACTTCCAGGTCTTACTGTAGAAGACAAAATAAACACCGTAGTTGCAATCTAGTTGTGTTGACTGATCTTAAGACCTCCATACACACATAATCCCAGCTTCTCCAGATAGTCTGACTCCTGGCATTTTCTGATATCTGGGGATCTCTGACTAAAGGTGGCCATACACTACACAATCTGATTGTACAATCTTCAATACCATCAACAAGGGCCGGTCTGCATTGATGCAAACTGAATAGATTGTTTACGTTTCTGTGACATGTACTTCATCCAGCCTGCCTGTGTTAGCGGTACACACGCGTGTGCCCGCTCCTGAGTCACTGGCTACAGTAGGATTTTGTCAGAAGGTCCCGGTCAGGGGCGGACTGACAACTCATGGGGCCCCCGGGCAATAAGGGATCATGGGGCCCCTGAGTCCTTGCCCAAACTCAAATAAACCTATAAAAAAGGTACCAGGGGCATTTCATGGGGCCCTACTGACCCCGGGCCCTCGGGCAGTGCTCGAGTGGTCAGTCCGCCCCTGGTCCTGGTAATGATTTATGGCTGAGACCTGCTGAACGGCAGTAACCAATCACAGCGCAGAGTCCTATGTTTACAAAACAACACAGGGCTCTGTACACAGAGTAGCAATCTGGCTGTTTCTTCTCCCGGATCTCTTAGTAAAAGCTGCACACATTGCACTTGTTAGGCAGTTAACCCTTTGACTGCCCCTCGATGTTAACCCCTTCCCAGCCAGTGTCATTAGTACAGTAGTAGCACCGATCACTGTATTAGTGACACTACTGATATCAGTGTCAGTGTCCCTCCCAGCCAGCGTCAGTTAGCGCCAAATTGCCCGACACACTATCACAGCCACAGATCACCGCCATTACCATTATATACCTATGACTTTCACACAAACCAATCAATATACACTTATTGGGATTTTTTCTCGCCAGACTTGTAGCAGAATACATTTTGTCCTAAATTTATGAAGTAATTAAATTTTTTATTAGAACATGTTTTATAACAGAAAGTAAGAAATATTGTTGTTTCCAAAAATGTTCGGTCTTTTTTCAATAAAATAAAAAAAAAAACAGTAGTGATCAAATACCACCAAAAGAAAGCTTCATTTGTGTGAAAGAAATTACATACATTTCATTTGTGTACAGCGTTGCATGACCGCGCAATTGCCAGTTAAAGTAGCGCAGTACTTAATGGTCTGGTTATGAAGGGGGTAAAACCTTCCAGAGGACAAGTGGTTAATCACTTACTGAATATGCAGCTTCTTCATCTTTAAATCTTTGCCTATGTTTCATTATAAGCTACCATGGTTGTTGCTCCAGGTCTCCTG